GGTTGCGTCTCGATAGCTATAAGGGTGCGGGAGATATGAGGCTGAAAGTGGTTGAAAGTGGCTTTCTATTTCGAATGTTTTGTTCGAATTTGTTCGAATTAAATTTGAACATAAAACTTGAATATTGGTTCGTTTCTGGAACGATTGTAAACGTTCCAGAAACGTTGAAAATAGTTCGTTTGACTGGACGTGAGCAGGAGACGTTCAGAAATAGAATCGGAACCAGGTAGTGTTAATATAAAGCGGCATGCAAGATTTACAGGCGGTTTTTTGCGCTTTTGCGGGAAATCGAACATATTTTTATGCTCATGTAAAAATTCTCTGGAAACGTCTGGAAACGGGAGACCTAATTCTTGCATTTTGTGAAAACGGGTAAGATTGGCTATAATGTAATTATCTTAATCTTCACTATCGTTACTTTTTGCCCACAAATAAAAACCCAGCGAAGCGGGTCCTTGCAGCTAGTATTTTATAATACTATTAATTAGCGATGTAACGATTATTCGGTTACTATTCGGTATTCGGCTTATTCGGCGTATTTTTCACTATTCGGCCGAATACCGAATACCTAAAAACAAGAGTAATAAATAACAAAAACACAGTAAATTAATCATTTTGGTACTTAGATTTAATGTTATCGAGTTAGTGTTGTTTGTTTTTATTTATTTTTTAACTTGAAACATGCACAAAATGAAAAAGAAAATAATATTAGTCACATGTATTCACAATTTATAATTACAAAGATCAGCACACGTACACATCTATTCGTTCGAGAATCGTCGCACATCTGAGGGTCTGACATTGCCTATCCTTGTTTTTAAGCGCTCGTCTTTCCTCTTTCCTTTCTCTTTCCTCTATCGCTCTATTCCATGTATGCCTATGCATACATCATAATACGCGCTCACGATACATTCGATTCGTCACTTTTCCGTCGTAGAGTTCCCATTTTACAATTACGTGACCTAGCCTGGTGATAACGGAGAAAAGAGACAGATAGGACGTCGATATAAGTCACAGTTATGATTTCACAGATTCGAAACAGCTTGATAGCCCGAACGGCCCCAGGTGTTCGCCATGTACGCTAAGTGACTTTCATTACAAGCATTTAGCTTTTCGAAGTCTATGACAACAATTGTTTGGCATTGACGGGCG